CATGTGAAGGTACGAAATGAATTGAGCATGTCTATCAGATTACTTCACTTTGCACTTTGTAGCGTGCTGCGTTTTACGTGGCAATATCTGCACTTATCCTCTGCATATTCTCTGCAGTTTGTATGTACTTTGGCGTGTATACTGTTCACTTTTGGCTGGATATCTTTCTGATAATAATGAACGCAGTTGTTGCCATCTTTGTGCTCATTGGGCTTTACTACGATAATCCGGTGTATCTCATTCCATTTATTGTCACTGAGGTATGTTCCGTATCTAACAAGGAAAGAATGATAAGCTTAAACTGATTCTAGATCGGTCAGTGTGTTGGATTTTTCTTTCTGGCGTCATACACGCTGTATTACACCATTGTGATAAAAAGGCAAAGATTCTATCAAAAATTCGGTAAGAATTAGAATACGGCAACGTATGATCAGTTTGTGAATTATGGTAGCCATACCTTAATAATTCCCTCAATTCAGACCAAATTCTAATGATTGTCTCCATCTATCTTGGTATTTTGATATGTGCACAAGCCACGTGGGTAATCAACCGATGTTACCATTACCTTCGAACAAGGCGACCTCATCCCAACTGTGACGACATCGAACATTCTTTCTGGGGCTGACACATTCAACTGCCGCAGCTGCCGTATGCACTGAGCTGAATTTGTCCTCGTGAGGACATATGTTTAGGGTTGTCTTCTGCAATGATCTCGTTTTTCAATGCAAAACATTATCACTGACGTCAATGTGATGCCTATTTTAAGGGATAATCGAGCATACGTCATTGTGTTTAATCTATTGCTGTTATGTTTTCTTATTTCTGAGGCTAAATTCCATTCATTGGGCCAAATGTTTCTTTTTAATTTCTCAATAAATGGAAAGCTTAATATTTTTAGACGAAACTTTGCAAGATTCTACTGTAAAAATAGATAAGAAGCATTAGCAATAAATCTGTAAAAATTTTTCCCAAACTTTTGGCTTAAAGGACAAGTCATTATGTCTCGATAAGTACCTCCGTCAATAAAATGATAATTTTGAAAAGTGGAGCTCAGTATGAAATGAACAAGTTAAACTATAGCAGTCCGGTTTTACAATGTTTTACAAAAATTGCCACAAGGCTGATTTTAAGAAAACAAGATTTAGACGCTGCGCTTACTCCTACGTTTTTCTAAGTTGAGCTTCTGCTGAGTGAGTAAATGTGAGTATCTTAAATAAACCAACACTACAATTTTTTTTGTATTCATGATAGGAAAATTTTCATTAACGTCGACATACCCAAGCAACAAAAGACTGCTCTTGACACGCTTAAGGGACTGCTCACGAAATGTTACTTCTCTTCCTTCACCACTTTTAGGGCAACAATTTCCTGGCTGTCACTGCATATTAATGCTATAACAGTAAAAAACCACTTTCGGAAGATCATGAGTTCGCTCTTGATAACACCTAAAAATCGCTCCACTCAACATAGACGACTCACCTCCGATAGTCGAGAGGATAAAA